CCATCTAATAGTTATGCTGGTAAGCCTAGATAGTTTCCTTTTTGAGCAGAAGTGTACTAATAGGCTCTCTGCACTGGAGATAAATATTGAAAAGGCTCTTTTGTAGCATATGCTGTGTTTGAAAAAAAGTTAATTCCTTTTATTTATTGCTTGTCGAACATCTTCTATGCTATGAAAGTATGAAGGTTGATTGAAGCAGTTGGGGGACAATAGTTTCCATCGTGCAGTACGATGCAGTCTGGATTCTTAAAAAAAAAAAAAAAAATACAGCCAATTTCTTCTGCCGAGTGCCGGACCTTGCATTGGTGCATTCATGTGTTTTAGTACAAAAATTTGTAGTACTCTAGTTGAGAAATATACAAAACAAGGTGGTCTTCGATTTGAAGGATATTTCAACATATTAATACAAAAAAGTAAAGCATGAAACAGACAAACATATTTATTTAAAAAAAAAAAAAAAGACAAGGAAACTTTATTGGATCTAATTTGAGGAAGAGCCAAGGAACTTGTTTGGATGACATGAAACTTCTGAATGAGGTTCTCTTCCATTTTCCATCCCCAAATCAGTACTAACAAGTTCCAACAGAGAAATAGTTGGAAAAGGCTTCGAAAGTTGTCTTTGGCAAGCAACAAATTGTTGAGACACATATTTCATTGTTGGTCTGGAAGCAGGTTTTGCACGCAAGCAAGCCAATGCAAGCATAACAGCAACAACAATACTTTGGGTAATAGTTGTGCTTCTTGGAGGCGGTAGACGTGTGTCTAATACATCATTTAGCATCACATTTGGCAAAGAATATGGTTTTGATAACAATGTTAGCAATTCTCCAAGATGCCTTCCCATCAGTACTTCCAATGCTACAACCCCAAAGCTATAAACATCACATTTCTCAGTCACAACAATTGCATAGGCAAGCTCTGCATAGGTAAATTGCATATTTCACATGTCAATTTAATAGTAAATAGTGAAATAAGACAATAGAAGAAGAATGTTGTTATGTTGATAGAAAAAACCTGGGGCAATATAACCATAGGTGCTTGCAAGTATGGTACGATTAGATGAATCAGGATCCAAAAGCCTAGCATTTCCAAAGTCAGAAACAAAGGCCTCCAACTCTAAGTTCAACAAAATGTTGTTTGTTGATATGTCTCGATGAAGGATGGGTGGGATGCAGTCATGGTGAAGGTAACTCAAAGCATGCACTGTGTTTTTTATGATATTCACCCTTTTGATCCAATCCAATTCCACAGCTTCAGCATCATCTCTAAGGACACAAAACAAGCTTCCCCTTTCCATGTATTCATAGATCAAAAACATGCACCGTCTATGCAAACAGAACCCATGAAGCTTGATAATGTTCCTATGTCGTATTTCTGTCAACATCTTAACCTCATTTCTAAAACTCTTGTCAAAAGCTGGCTCCTCTGCTTCCCTCCTATGAAGTTTCTTTAAGGCAACTACTTTTCCATTTGGTAGCTGTGCCCTATAAACACTTCCATAACCATCGGTACCAATGCAATATCTAATGTCAAAGTCTTCAGTTGCTGCAATGATGTCTTCATATGCAGCCTTCCCATCAAAGTTCCATATTGAGAATACATCTCCATTTTCCGTTGGACTTGAATATGCTACCGAACTTTGGTATTCATTTATTCTTTGAAAAAGCAACAACAATGCCAGAGATACTAAGGCAAGAAAAATGGTGATAGGAAGAATAATTTCAATATATCTTAGCACTTTGTTGCTTGGGGAAGTAAGATGACGCTCTAATCCCTTGTTGCCTATGAAAGAGCTATTCGGAAAATAATGCAAGTTATTTGGGATTTGCCCTGAGAGATTATTGTAACTAAGATTCAAGGTTCTCAGCCATAGTAAATCCCCCAGTTGTGAAGGTATCTCTCCACTAATGAAATTGTGGCTCAGTGACACCTCCCTTAAACTGGAGCAATTCGCAAGTTGTGTTGGGATGGGCCCTGACAATCTGTTTTGGGAAAGATCCAAATATTGCAGAAGTTTTAAATGACCTATCTCTATGGGTATTGAACCTTCTAAAAGATTTGAATCAAGATCCAAGTAGTCCAAATTGGTTAGATGAAGTAGAGTGGAAGGAATAGAACCAGAGAAATGGGTAGCACGAAGATCTAAATATTCTAGATTCGTCATATTTCCGATTGCATAAGAAATGGAACCTTGTAAATAATTCAAACGAAGGTTCAAAATTTTCAAATTGGATAAACGAGAAAGAGATGAAGGGATTTGACCTGTTAAATTATTGCCACCAAGAACCAGAAGTTCCAAATTAAGTAGATTTCCTATGTTTGGAGGGATGGAGCCCTCAAAAGAATTTCCAAGAAGGTCCAGGTGGCTCAAATTGGACAGGAGACCCAAAGATGAAGGGATTGTACGCCCTAAACTATTACCACCAAGAAGCAAGTATCTCAAAATTTTCAAGTGACCCAACGTTGGAGGGAGTGGACCAACAAGTTGACACCCCCTTATGATGAGATAAATGAGATTCGTTAAATTTCCAAACTCTGGTGGTATGGAGCCATTGGTTTGATTGTTATAAAGATTCAAGTACCTCAAATTTCTCAAGTGACCCAAAGTTGGAGGGAGTGGACAACCAAGTTGACACCCACTAATGCTGAGATAAGTGAGGTTCGTTAATTTCCCAAATTCTGGAGGGATGCAGCCACTAAATGAATTCAAACTGAGGCGTAAAAATGTCAGGCTGTTTAATTGTCCAAGAGAGGACGGTACTAGATCAACAAGCAAATTACTAAACAGATTCAAAGAAACCAAACTCTTTAGATTCCCCATTTCTGACGGTATGGATCCATTGATTTGATTGTTTGCAAGAGTCAAAGAAACCAGATTGGTTAAATGACTGATATTGGAAGAGATTGGACCAATGAGGTTGCAATCACTCATGTCTAAGGCTACAAGATTCTTCAAGTTCCATATTTCTGGAGGGATACTACTATGGAAAGGATTTGAGGCCAACTCCAAGTGGGAAAGATTGGTCAGAAGACCTATAATTGGAGCAACTGATGCATTGGGGTTGTTTGCAGTCAAGTTCAAAGAAATAAGACTCTTCAAATTCCCGAATTTCAGTGAGATGGAGTCCATATAATTGAAAAATATATCAAGCACCCGTAATTGAGTGAGATTTCCAAGTGAAGAAGGCAATGTACCTGTTAGATGGTTATTGGACAGATTAAGGTGCTCAAGTCTTATAAGATCACCAATTTGAGGTGGAATGATCCCATAGAGTTCTTGACAGCTGAGATCAAGGCGAACAATATTGGAGAAGCAAGAAAAGTTCATTTTTCTAAACTTCTCTCCCACACTAAAATCAGGTGGATTAATCTCAATAATGCTCCCAGCACTGTTGCCTGTTATACCAGGCCAGCTACAATGATCTGCAACGTTGTTGAGGGAGGCATTCCACCACCCACTCTTCCGCAGAGCTTCAGCTTCAAGTGTTGCCCCAACCACAAGTGTGCTGCTAGTGCCAATACAAATTGTAGCGCAGAAAAATAAGGTAACCCATGTTAATAACTCCATGGAGATGCGAATGTAAAATGCCATGTTAAGTTTGATTTTTCAAGTTGAAGTGTTGTGCTACATTCAGGTGAGCATAGGTAGATATTTAAGGCCTGGTCCTTGCATTAGGTTAAGATGATTCTGACGTTTCTTTTTATTTTTTATTTTTTTCGCCCGTCTGTATCAAGAGGATGCAGTGACGAGGGGCCATAGAGACGCCATAAATATCGCATTGGTCTGTGCATACAGTCGCTCACGACCCTTAACTTGCTGCTTTCTTCTTCTTTCTTTTTTTTTTTTTTTTTTTTTTTGAACATATTTGCAAGGGGCGGGTTTCGAACCCAGCCCGGGGAGGGGGGAATGCACCGGGGTGGCTATTGCCACTAGGCCTCAAGGGCCAGGTGCCCTTAACTTGCTGCTTTCAATTCTTACAGTTTCAAACTTTTGATTTCTATTCATGGCCAAATCGTTTTCATATAGCTACAGCTAATTAACAGAATAAAGAAATTTTCAAAAGAGAGAAGGATAAGAAAATCGAACCAGCTTACCTTGAAATGTACCAATGACACAAAGCAGCTCTTGCAAGTTAGTGGAAATTTCTTTTCATTGCAGTTAGTTTTAGGACTTTGGTTCTTTGTTATTGCATCCACTGAATTTTCATCTTTGAAATTAACCAACTAACCATGAAAAGAGAGGCCATACCTCACATCAGTCTTTCTTTGCAGACGGCCGGTCATGACTTTCTTCTATGCAAACCTCTGGTAACAGTCATAAAAAATTTTTAAACTAAAAATATTAATACAATTTTAAAAACACTCATCCATTATTTTATTATTATTTTTCACCATTATAATTTTATTATCTTTGATCTTAA